CAGTACTTACAAGGCACTTTTTATTATTATTAGGAGGATGCCCAAGGGTATTTCCTGGACTTACTTGCTGTTATGTATGCTGCCCACCCTACAGCCAGATGAAGGCAGGTCAGGCGTTTGTTGCCAGCAATGACCAGTGGGTGGACCTGTTGAGGGGGGAAAGACAGATGAGTTCATTAATGACAAACGTGTAGGCATGAGTTCTCCCAAAGCATAGCAGTTTGGCACTAGTTTGATACAACTAACCCTTCCCAATGAAATAGCTACTGAAGGCATGGCCAATAATTTATATGACTATAGAGACCTTGAATCCCTTGGAAAAATGTCAGGGATTTAGTTGCCTTCATAAAGGAGGAGACAGTGGAATGAAATGTATTAAAAATTTATTTGATGTTGGTTAAAGCAGGGCAAAATTTGATGCATAAAAAATAGTAGGATCTTCAAATATTTGGGAATAAGACCCTTAGGTGGAAGAGTGATCAGAGAAAACCAGATAATTCATGGTATAGACCATTACAGCAAGAGCCTAGGAAAATTCCACAACTCTAGATTCTGTGTCTGCTTTTAAAAAAGTGGAATGGTGAGGGAACAATGGGCTTCAGGAGGGGAGCTTGGTCTCCTGAGATTCTGGTATCACCGTTCAGGCTTCCTGTGGCCCCTGTCACTGGGTGTATGTGTCAAAGAGTGATGTCCCTTTTCCTCTGCTTCCAGGATTGTCCTCCAGAGGCAGAAGACTTCAGAGCCCAGCAGTGCTCAGCCTACAACGATGTCCAGTATCAAGGGCGTTATTATGAGTGGCTTCCACAGTACAATGATCCCACCGCCCCGTGTGCACTCAAGTGCCATGCACGAGGGCAGAACTTGGTAGTGGAGCTGGCACCCAAAGTGCTAGATGGAACTCGCTGCAATGCCGACTCCCTGGACATGTGTATCAGTGGCGTCTGCCAGGTGAGCCAGACCTGCCTTTTGTGGCCCTGCTTCTGGGATGCACCACGCCCACTCTCAACAGAGAGAATTTTTTGCTCCCATACTTTTGAACATGCAGGTGAAAGTATTGTTTTTGACTACTGCAATGTAAAAATATGTAAGAGAACATGTTAGCCTTTAAATCGTGTTCACAGTGGTTCTCCAGGGTGAACATGTGTCAGAACCTTGGGAGGACTTAGGATAATTGGAATACTGGGTTCACCTCCACAGTTTCCAACTTAGCAAGAACGTAACCTTCAGAGAAGTTCCTAGAGATACTGATGGTGCTGGTCAGAGGACCACACTTTGAAAACCATTGCTTTAGAAAAGTAATACTGATATATTTTCTATATTTTCTTATTAAAACTAATGAGTTCTGTGTTAGTTAGTTTTTCATTGCTGTGACTAACTACTTAAGTTATGCAACTTAAAAGAAGAAAGGTTTATTTTGCTCAGCAGTTTCAGAGATCATAGTCCATGGTCCATGGTGTTGTTTTTAGGTCTGTGGAAACAAAGGTCATGATGGAAGGGTATGACAAGGAGAGATGTGCACTTTATGGTGGTCAGAAAAGAGAAATGGAGGGAAAGAGCTCAAAGGGAGGGGCAAGGGAGCAGGTGTAGCCCCAAGGTCACACTGCACGAACCACCCCTTCCAGTTTGGACTCTCCTCCTGTTTCCATTACCTTTCCATAGTGCTGCCAAATTATGGTCTTATCAGTGGATTAACTCATTGATGAAGTCTGTGCCCCTCATGACTCAGTCACCTTCCAAAAGCCCGTTCTCTAAACGTGAGCTTTTGGGGAGAACACTTTACATTTAAACTATATTTGCTTTTGGTTTGGGGTATCAGTGCCTGACATAACTGAGTGAATGCCTTCTAGAGGATTTCTCAGAGTAGGCTTTTAAAAAAATTTATTTTATTAGGACATATGTGCAGAACATGACACTACAGCTTATTTCCTTTTTAAAAATCTCCTTCCCCTTCCCTTCCTGTCTCTCCCTCCTCCTCCAGTTTCTCCAGCCAAATTTTCATTCTTATTGATATTATTAATCTTAGCTCATATTATTACATATAATGTTTACATTAATTGAGGTTATTAGATTCCTATACATGGCATATTTTAATCTTTTTAAAAAATTTATTTTAATCTTTTATTTATTTGGTACAAGGTCTCGCTATGCAGCTCAGACTTGTAGTGACCTTCCTGTCTCAGCCTCTCCAGCAGTGGGATTACAGGCGTGCGCCACCATGCCCGGTTTTCATGTGGTATGGGGGATAGAACTTGGGTCTTTGTGCTTGCCAGGCAGGCACTAAGATCGCTGAGCTAGCTCTCCAGCTCAGTGTATTTTATTCTTATTTCTTTGTTCCCTCCTCATCCCATGCCCTTGTTCTATTTATCCTCTTCCTTATCATAAGAGATCCAACACCTTGTCCCCTTCTACCTACTCTTTATTAGTCTCTTGGTTTGTATTTGCTTCACTCAAGTGAGAGATAGCATATGGTATGTAAATTGGTGTGTCTGGATTATTTCACTCAACAATGTACTTTTTAGCTGTATCCATTTCCCTACAATTGTCTCAAACGTGTCATTCTTTATAACCAAATAGTGTTCCATTATATACAGATACCACATTTTTAATTTTTTTAAATTTCTTTTTTTTCTTGTCTAAACAATATTAGTACAAA